ATCAATAATATTGCCAATATTAGATTTTCACTTATGTATTCACTTACCATATACATTTATTATTTGTTTCGATAATGAGCTACAATCGGCTGATGCGTTGTCGCAAGATCCCTTTGTTCCAAAATTAATCGCAAGAAGTAAAGTGAGCTCTTTTCCCTTGATAAGGCCGGCAACTCCCTAGCTGTGGGGGTGCTAACAGGCCATTGGCCTATAAGGAGTCCATGCGGTTGGTTGAGAACGCCTGAACAAATTCTTATCGCCCACAAGGCGTTTTGCTGACCTATAGTTGCAATTACAACAATTCTATTTTTATATCTTCACAAAGGACTGTATTTAGTAGTCCAAGGGCGATCTCGGTATAAGCCATCAAACCGAACCGAACCTTTTTTTATTCGGAGAGACTTTCGTATTTTCAGAATACCAAGCGAAAAAAAAACTTTTTTTTGACACACCCTAATATAATCGATCGAAAATAACACTAGTAGGATAGATATCGAGAGTCGAAGAGGGAAACAAGACGCATATGCAGAAAAAAAAGGATACCGATATGCGTGAGTATGAAGAGCTTTAGAAGCTGGCCGACAGGTGAAATGCTCGAAAATTCTATGAAAAGATCGGAGCAATCTCTTGTAGAACCCTTAGAGGTAATAAAGTATGTGATATTCAGAGTATACTGAAGTGAACACTACTTCAGCCTGTTGAATGTCAGTGAAGGTGTAAGATCTGGATATGGCGCACCGGTAGGACATCGATGATGATGGCATATATGTTCCATTTACCGACTATCATGAGGTTCGAATAGCAATTATCCGCCTGTATAACAACAAAGCGGGAGGGGCCGATAGTTTACCGGCCTAGCTATTCAAATACGACAAGGAAACACTGATAAGGAGCAAACACCAGATTCTTTAAAGAATATGGTCGGACGAAAGTATGACCGTCGATTAAAATTTAAGTGTGCTCTGTCCAGTCCACAAAAAGGGAGACCCCTCAATCTGCGCCAATTACCGCGAGATAAGCTTCCTCAATATYGCATATAGGGTCCGTGTGAAGGATGTGAAGGATTGAAGGCCAACAAACTGATTGGGCCCTCTCAGTGTGGATTTAGAGCTGAAAGATATACTTTTGAACAGATTTTCACCATGCGCCAAATTTTGGAAAATATCTGTTAAAGCAATATCGAAACACACTACCTCTTCGTCGATTTGCTGCTATGATTCTATGTTTGAACTGCGTATCCCCGCAAAGCTAGTACGGCTGTATAAGCTGACATTGAGAAACGAGAAGTCCTCCGCCAGGAATGGGAAAGACCTCTACGTGTCGTCCGATACCATGGTAGTTTCAAACAAGGAGACTCCCTATCGTGTGACTTCCTCAATCTATTGTTGGAAAATATAATACGAGCTGTAGAACTGAATAGATAAGGTAAAGTCTTCTATAAGAGTGTGCAGCTGTGGGCGTATTCATCTGATATTATTGGATTCAACAACCGCGCTATTAGTTCTGCTTTCTCTACAAACTGGATAAGAAAGCTAAGCATATGATTCTGGTTGTGAACGAGGATAGGACGAAATATCTCCATTCAACGAGCAAACAGTGATTGCATTCGCGACTTGGCTCTTACGTCAATGTTGACAATCAAACCGCCATAGATTACTTATATATCTTAGAGCCAATATTAACATCAACAACAATATCAGACTTGAAACCTGACGCTGTATCACTCTTGCTAACAAATCCTACTTTGAAGTGAGTAGGCAATTGAAAATTGACAAAGATCAAAATTTAGACGTCCCTTAATATTCCCGTGCTATATGATTGATAGAAACGCTTTGCAGAAGATGTATGATCCTTTGCGCATTGGCCACTTCGAATACCGCATTCGACGGAACGATGAACTGTGCCGTTTTCGATTCAGTATCTACCAGTAGAAGCAGAGGAAAAGGAAAACCTCCATTCCGGATATCAGGTTGGGAACGATCTGGCTGCACTTCTATCGAACTGGCGCCAGATAGCAAAACGGATAAACGACTGGCGCGCTATCGTTATTTCGGCTATAACCGCGTAAGCTATGTCTACGCAGATATAAAGAAGGATCTACTCTCATAAACTATATATCTAACACGATTAGTTTCAGCTCTTACGAACAAGTAAGAGGTAAAATAACTCTCATACACTGTGCGATATACAAGTATTATGAAAGTATAAAAATTTGAACCTCTTAAATTAATTTTCGCTTATTATGTGGCAAAAATTTAAAACCACAAACACGAATGTTCATACAACTCAATTCATACTAGCGATATCTCAACTTTAATCCCAACCAAGATTATTTTGAAACATTAAACAGCGTCAGCAACAGTCTCAAGAAATCAATTTCCACTCAAATCGATATCGTTGCCATGTGAATTTCCTCGTTGGAAGAGAAGAGCGGGAAAATGGCAAATAAGAAAAACGTATATTTTGATAAGGCATTTTTCATGTCAACAAGTCGGCACAATCTGAGCGCCAAGTAGAAAAGTACGCACAATCAACAGACAACCTTTCGCACACACACAAACCGCCACACTCGCTCTGGTTAATACTTATGTACGTGCGTCGGCTAACCATTTTCATGCTTAAGAAATCTCCTCCTTTAACTTTTTCATTTCCTTTCCTTTTGTGCTGTTGCCAACTCCTGACCTGTTGCCTTGCCGTACCCATACCCCTTCTTACATTCCGGTTCCAACGCTGCGTCTCACGTTACTTGCGGTACATTTACATTTTATTACAGTCATATACTTATATTTGTGTTTTCACTTTACGAGTATTATTCTCGGGTGTATTTATACGTGTGTGTGTACTTTACAAATTAATTTCTACCGTCGCGTGCAAGCAAGCTTAAATAGGTGTAACAGAGTAATTTAAATAAAGTACTTGTCATATTTATTAATGCATAAGCACAAGCACATATAGAGTTACACATTTTACACGAATATAAAAGAGATAACAATATAACAGAAAATAATTATACACCTCTATGAAAGCGGGTGTTGCGGTATGAATTACGAAAATATTTGCACAAACGCGGGCAAAAGCTAATTGAGATAGATAGGAATTCAGGACAGATGAAAAGGGAGACATTTGGAAAGAATTTCTCTTTCGAAACCTTTAAATATAGATATTAAAAGGATATGTAACTGAGTTGAACTCTTTAATTTGAACTTATATAAATGAATTTGGTGAGTAGGAAGGAGGGCCAAACCCGGCTTTAAATATTTTGCAAGGTGGTTTAATATACGCCACTAAAGCTTATCAGAAGAAGTTTTTGGAAGTTACATTCCATCCGATATGCATATTAACCGTTTCCACTACAGAAGCATCCATTAAACAGGGACGGACCAAGACCTTACTGACGTAGAAACCGCATGCGCCGGTTATAGCCGAGTTAACAACAGCGCACTAGTCGTTTCTTCTTTTCGCTAAATGGCGACAATTGGAGATTTAAAGCGAAGCCAGGTCCTTCTCCACATACTCTTTCCAACGGAGTGGAGGTCTTCCTCTGGTTCCCCGGTGGGTACTGCGTCGAATACTTTCAGAGCTGCAGCGTAATCGCAGTCTCGGGAATAATGAGTTTGGTTTTTTGTTCGTCGGGAGAGAACTTTATTTCTCAATTGTCTACTCAGTTTATACAGCCGTATTAGCTTTGTAGGGATACCAAATTCCGACATCGTGCTATAAAGGCAACACATTTTCGTGCGGTCAAAAGCAGCTTTGAAATCCACCAAGTTTTGGAGTGTGTTGATCCTCTTTTCACGGGTATTTTCCAAAATTTGGCGCAGAGTGAATATACGGCCAGTTTCACACAGTACTCGTAAGCTCGATAGATGCTTGTATGCGATATTTAGGAGACTTATCCCAAGGTAGTTAGCGCAGATTGTGGAGCTGCCATGTTTGTGGATTGGGCAGAGCAACTTAAATTCCAATCGTTGAGCATGCTTTCGTCCGACCATATTTTACAAAACAGCTGATGTATGCTCCTTATCTGTTTTTCGCCGCCGTCCATCGACCTCCCTTGCTTTGTTGTTCTTCAGACGGGCAATTGCTATTCGAACTTCTTCATGGTCGGACAATGGAACAACTGCTTCATCGTCTTCGATTGGGGAATCGTATTCGCCTTCTCCTGGCGTTCTGCTTTCACTGCCATTCAGCAGGCTGGAGAAGTGTTCCGTCCATAAATTTAGTAGTACAGATAACCATTTTCGGGACCAGGCGAAGTCGAACGGCCTCAACCCTTTTGGTGATGTTTCCTCTTGTAGGCTGAATTTACCGTCTGTTGTGCTAAAGATACCTTCCTTGCCCAATCTGGCGTTAAAGTCGCAAGTGCGATTTTGACATCGTGGCGGGGGCAGCTCTCATATGTGCGCTCCAACCATCCTTGGTCACATTGTCCTTCTCTTTCGTCAGAGTGTGAGCGCAAATCAGCGATATGTTGGAGAACTTCGCTTTGATGTGTATTTATCCACCAGAGTGAATGATAGTACTCGGCCACCGAGTCTCTCTCCCATCGCGAATCTCATACCGAATTTGCGCTTCTTTATATAGCCACTGTAGCAAATGCCACTTTATACCGCATACTACAAATATATTTGGCAATATGTGAGTTAACTTAGTCAAAAGGACTTCGTTATCTCGAACTTAGCCCTTCCTTTGTTTTTTTTTTTTTTATTGATATAAGCCCTCCATTTTACTTTCGTTGACCGCATCTTTCATTAGCTTAGTGACCAGAAGCGTTGAAATACAACAAAGAATTTCAATTTCATTTATAACGTTAACCTTTACTAATTTCTAAAACCACATTTGTAATAAATACCACCTAACCATTATCATCAGTTAATCTGTAAATTATATACTTAAATTATTTAATTAACATACAAATGTATATATTTTTATTTATCTTCTTTTAACTATTGCAGCTATAGTAGAAAAAACAGTCAGCAAATTTTAATTTTTAATCACATAAAGAACTCAAACACTCTAGGAACTTTAGAGTGATCACACAGGAGATATTTGTACATTCTCTTTTTTAGGGTAATCGACTGAGTCGCCAAATACACGGACAGTAGACTTCCCGGAAATGGTAACAGGGAAATTTTGTATTAAATGGCGCCGCTCCTCCTCATCACTTTCAAAACGATTATCACAACTCCGACACTGATCCACAAAAAACCTCGCTAAGTACTCTTTTACCTTATAACATTCTGACGAGCATTTCGATTCTGGATGAAATTGCGATCCAAAAAACGGATATCTAAAAGTCGTTAGTTTTGTTGGAATTAAAACTTAATTCACAGTTAGCATGTGTTTACCTGCGATGTTCGATAATGGAAGCAAATTCTAAGCGCTTCGCGTCCTCGTTTTTCGCCAATATATGCCACACATCATTGAAACTTTCAGCTGTCTTTATGGAAAATTGTTTATTTAACAAACAGTTAGTGGAAATCTGTTCTACACTTCAGACTATTTGGAGAGTCCGAAGGTTTTAAATGTGTAGAAAAGAAAAGTAATTATCTGCAGCTATCATTACCTTAAGGCTCACGCAATACCTATGGCGATGGTGACCGAATGGGTTGTTCTTCATAATGATCTCTAATTCAACAGGTAAATCGGCAAAAAGTCGTGAATCACGAAAATCTGTAAGAAATTATTTCATATGCTTACATTCAAATAGTTCGTTTACAAATACGAGGTGTGTTTAAAAAATGACGGGATTTTAAAATTTCGTGAGTTTGAAGAGCCCAATTGTCCGCTAAGGTTAGACGTGTTTTTATGTTTATTTGAGATTTTTTTAAGTTTAAGATTTCTTGGCTATTAAACAAACTGGAACGAAGTCCAAGCCTCCATATTCGCCAGACATTGCTATGTGTGATAGAGTTTGAGAAGGTGTCTGACATACTACTGTGACCAAAAAGTAGTAAGACCGATTTTTACGATGAGTGAAATTATTTAACAAAGATGTTCCATTAAATTTCGTGTGCGGAATCAAATCGCTGGTGCCGAAATGTTCGGAATGTTGGAAAAGGTTTACAGTGATAACTGTATGTCATGAGCAAATGTTTATGATTGGTACAAATTATTCACACGGTCGAGAACGCGTTGACGATGAACCATGTCCAGGACGGTAATTAACATCAACTAATGATCAACATTTCAATAAAATAAAGGAATTTCATACTGTCATGATTGGAATATCGAAAAACTCTGAGGAAACCATTTTGAAAGATAATTTCATAGACGATCAATCGACCGAATATCGTGACAAAGATGAGCCGAAGCCTAAAAAAAGCCACGTCAAACAGGTCAAAATTTAAGGTTCTATTGACAGTTTTCCTCGATTATCGAGATGTTGTGTACTCGGAATTCTTTCCGGCCGACCAAACTGTCAACAGTAGCTACTACTTGAGTGTTATGCGTCATTTGCGCTATTCGTACAAAGTGGCCGAAATTATGGGCCGGCAACTCTTGCTTTTTGCTCCACGATAATGCACCGTCGCATACTGCATTGATTATTCGTGTGTTTTTGGCAAAATTTTCTACCAAGATCGTGCCACAACAACCTTATTCGCCTGATTTAGCTTCGTCTGACTTCTGGCTATTCAGCAAACACTTAATGAATTGAAGATTGAAGACATTAAACGTGAATCGCTAAGTGCATAGAAGGCTGTTCCGGAAAACGACTCTGACAATTGTATCGGGGATTGGAGAAAGCGTTGGCGCAAGTGTATTGGGGCCAAAGGCGATTAATTTAAAGTGTACGACGTAGATTTTGAAAAATTTTTTGAGAGTGCTTCGCGGGTGATCAGCTTTTTTTGGATTCACCTCATTTTGAAACACGTACACCGTCGACTGCTTTTTACTTTCGGGCTCTTACGTATAAGTTAACGATTCATCGCCTGTCGTATATTTTTGTCGTTTCGTGCAATCCCACGTGAATTTTTTTTTACAAACAAATGTTAATGCAATCTTGAATTTATGCTTGCCCCGCTAATGTCTATTGGTGTCTTAATCCCACGATGGGTCACATTAAGACCATGCAACGTCAGTTTGCGCACAGCATCAATTGTTCCCGGAACAAGAACTGATTATAGACGACTTTCGACATACGACCCCGATTGGCTTCAGCATACCATTGATAAACACTGGTCTTTAATGCAGCTTCATCGTCAAAAATTGAATTAAGTTCATCGAGCCACTGTTGCTGAGATAGTCAACGTCAAAAGCGCAAAAATGTTCGCGATTTAATTCCATTTTTCGCTGAGAGGAATATCAGCTGTAAACAACGTAACTTGCGCGCTCGTATATCAATTCGCTCTGAGTATGTATGGTATAATGTAAAAATGCCAAAATTTAAGATAAAGTTGTGAATCGACAGAGTGCTATACTTGAGTTGTCAAATCCCAAAATATAAAAAGCAACCCACTAATGTTTATAGATTTTTTGGTTATATACATATGTGGCTACTACTTCAAGTTTTAATGTGCAGTTCTATAAATATGTAATGATTATAACTGATTAAATTCACCTGGTAAAAATTCCACTGATAAATAGCAATTCATGAACTCGCATTTGTCGCGCACATCAATGCCGTAAGGTGCATCCGCCAAATGGGTTGTGTAGAGTACCAAGAGCTGAAAGCCTAGACATGTTCCCCAAATCGGTAGATTAACACCTTTCTTATGCAATTTCATAGCTATTCGTATAATATTCATAGTGGCAGTAACACAATAATTTGTTAAATCCAAGCGAGCAGGATCGTGTTCATTGACATAGACCGCACCACCAGGCAAAAGAACGCTGCGAAAGAAAATTTGCCAAAAAAAAAAAATTTGGAAATTCCATGAATTCGAATCTTACCCATTTACTTTGCTTAATATGTCCTCATAATAGTCGACACTTCTATTGATCCTTGTTTTTTTTTTTGCACGTAAGTTCGTATAGCAGTTTATGAATAAGAAGTAAAATTATAAAGAAACAATATTTATACAGTTCTTTCAATAAAATTGTCACAAATGTGACATACCAAATAGGCACAACACCAGCTCCTGCATCCTCCAAATATTTCACATTCCTTTCATCAATATAACTGCAAATTTCGGGGCTCATACTATCCTTACGATCAATACACAGCAGACCAATAAGAGGCTTATTCATAATGATATTGAAATGTTTTTAAATCTATACTCGTAAACCTGAAAAAAAATTAAAACGAATACTCACAAATGTCGGATAATTTTTTTTTTTTTTTAATTGTATACACATATGTACATGTATTATGTCAATAAATAGCCGATATCATTTCATACTATGTATGTATGTATGATACAAGTGAGTGCAGGTGAAAGTATGGAGAAAAATCTTCAGTTCTTAAAAACTGAGTATGATCACCCATTCTCTCCTTTTGAATGTCCATATCTTCTGAACCAGTCAAGCTCTACCACCCATACTCAATGGAGACATTTAGCCTTATCGTAAGCTTCACGTGAACGTCGTGGAAAAATTCACAAATTTGTGTTTTTCTTATGGTGAACTTCACATGGAGAAAAAATTCCATATTCGAAAATTTTCCTTAACCGTAAATTAATTTGTTTTCATGAAATTCGTTCAAAAAAATATTAATTGACTTTAAGAAGTTTTTATATATAACTAAAGCCTATTAAAAAAATACAGCTGACGATTTTAGTCAGCAGCAATGACGAAAGTCTTGATAAAGGAAAAGTTTTAAAAAAATAAAACAAGGAGAAAAAGCATGTGTTTTGAATGATGTTACATTATTTATCCAATAGCAAGAGGCCACAATTAAGTTACCACCCAATATGGAGCCATTCAAATTTTTATACCCTGAGCAGGGTATATTAACTTTGTCACGAATTTTGTAACACCCAGAAGGAAGTGTCGGAGTTCAGTATGTTGTGCTGAGTCGATTTAGCCATGTTATTCTGTATATATACAACCAGTCCCTTAGTTTTCAAAATACCGTTTTGAAATTTTTCAAACGTCATTTCCTCTTCAAGAAGCTGCTCATTTGTCGGAATTGCCGATATCGGACTACTATAAAATATAGCTGCCATACAAACTGAACGATCAGAATCAAGTTATTGTATGGAAAACATTCAGATTTGACAATGTATCTTGACACAGGTTATTTTCTAAGATGTAGTGTTCCGAATAAATTGTTCAGATCGGTTAACTATAGCATATATATAACTGCTATACAAACTGAACGATCGGAATCTAGTACTGATAAGGAAAATTTTTGCATTTGACGTGGTTTTTTCACGAAATTTGACATGGATTACTGCTTAAGATAATAACATAATCTCCGACATTTTTGTTCAGATCGGATTGCTATAACGTATATCCACACAAACTGGAAACTTAGTTAAAAGAAAAGCACCTGTGAAGGGTATATTAGCATCGGATTCACCGACCGTTTTTCTTGTTTCAAATACACCAATACATCCGAAAATTATTATCTACACAATTTATGCAAATAAGATAGGATAAATAAATGAGGATTACACCGTGACCTAAGATCTATTGTACCCCAACATAACTATTTTTAGGGGTTAAAACGGTTTAGCTTAATTTCTGGGAGAACATTGGTTCTTTGGAAAAAAGCTTATATGATTATACCATGAAAATTTCGATTGAAAATTAGGGTTTACTTTCGATATCTAGAGACAACAGGGTGGCAAAAATATTTTAATTCAATAATTACTTCATGTTTTTGAAATAGTTTACCCCAAATTTCGTGAAACAAACAATATTTGAAAAAAGTATTTGCCAAAAACTTCGTTATTTTAATTTTAACATAAGTTATGGGGCTATGTAAAAACGTTGTGGACACAAAAGTTTGCGATGTTTTCATTACCTACTACTATGAGCAAAAAATAATAGACTATAATAGAAAAATCTATGTCGTCCCCCTAAAAATAATATCTCATGGCCCCAATACACTTCCTCCAACATTTTTTCCAATCGTCGAAACAGTTGTTAAAGTCAATATCCGCAAAAGTCTTCAATGTGCGCTACGATGTTTTATGTCTTCGATTCACTCCAAACGGTTCCCCGAAACGGTCGTGTGAGATTACCGAATAGCCAGAAGTCAGGCGGAGCTATATCAGACGAATACGGTGGTTACGGCGCGATATTTATCGAAACTTTGGCGAAAAACTCACGAAGAATCAATGCAGTATGCGACGGTGCATTATCGTGGAGCAAAAACCAAGAGTTGTCGGTCCATGAACCTGGCCTCCTTTTACAAAAAGCTTCGTGCAAAAGACGCATAACACTTAAATTGTATACCTTAATGACAGTTCGGGCGTTCGGAAGGAGTTCGAAGTGCAAAACACATCGTAATTGAATAAAACTGTCAAAATAACCTTCATTTTTGTTCTTATATTCGGCTGATTGATTGTCTGTTTCCGCGTCGTAAGCTTAGATCAAAGACTAATCGCCAGTGATATTGCGTTCATGACATCCTGATAGTCGGAAAGCATTCTTTTCAAGAAGTAAACGCGGCGCTGTTTTTCGAAAGAGTTGAGTGATTTCTGAATCAATCTTGCTTTCACTTTTTTATGCTCAAATGATCTTTTAAAATGGTTTTCACTGATCCTTCCGATATTCCAACGAATCCAGTTAGATCCCTGATCTCTATCAATCGTCGGTTCTCAAGCAACAATTCCTTTATTTTATTGACGTGTTGATCATCAGTTGATGTTGATGGCCATCCTGAACGTGGTTCGTCGTCAAAGCGCTCTCGACCCTCAATGAATAATTTGTATCAATCAAAAACATTTGCTCGCGACAAATTATCACCCAAAGCCTTTTACAACAGTCTGAACATTTCGCCACCAGAATTTTGATTCCACACACAATATTTAATGGAACTTCTTTGCTAAATAATTTTACTCATCGTAAATATCACCGAATACACTTTATGCACTTCCGAAATAATATCGTATACTCAACATAAATGATTCATTGATGTGACATTTAGCACAGTTGTCACTAACACTCATACCAATTTAGAAAAGAAATATCTCGAAGAATAGGTTTTCGCGCGAAATTAAAATTCAAAAATCCTACTATTTTTTGCTTACAGTAGTATAACTTTCTTATATAATTTTTTATAAATGGCACGTAGTTTTGTCGGAAATCGAGAGGATAAGTTTTTAACCCTGAAAAATTAACTCACTCCTCCCCTTCCTCTTACAGACCTAAAAAAAATTACCGTAAATTATTTTTCCTCTCATATTTTTATTGTGTGTGAGCGATTTTTCTCAACGTTGCTATGCAGCATACATATGTATATATACATTAGAGTGTGTTTAAGGAATCAACTTTCCACTTGACGTCAAGAATATGCATAATTTTGTGCTATACATTATAAGGAAACTAAGTCATATGATAAAATCATATAATATAATAACATGCAACAGAAACTTGTGTATAGTTTATCAACGTTCGAAGCTTCACACGGAAAACCCACAGGCGTAAAAGCCGATATTAAGAGGACGACCAAACACCATAAACACATATAAAATATATATACATACATACATATATATATATATATTTATATAGATTTATTTACACAAATATACACTCACAGTTATGTATATAATAGCAATCGAAATTAAATGGAAAGTCAAAAAAATGCGCTGATTCGCTGCAAAGTGTTTTCTCGAAGGTCAAGAATATGCAAACAACAATTTCGTTTGCCAAATTCTAAAATAAATAAAATATATGGTATATGATATGTACGTATAATACAGAAACACCTCTCACGTTCACAAAGATACAGATGTTTAAGCGAACTTACTAAAGTGCAGTTGAATGCAGGTCTTTTTCACTTGTTCTTTCACGCGAGACTAAAAAAGAGCAAGAACTTCAAATCGTCTATATACCGTGCATTATAAAAATTGGCGCCAAATTCAAGCAAACGTGTATATAGTAAAATACATACTTATGGATAAAAGTGCACGTGAACGAAGCACTTACAGCGGTCATCATTTCGCCATTTCAACGGCTGTTATCGTGTTAAACGCAGCTCTCTAATCGAAACATGCATGTGCATCCATTGTAATAAGCGACGTCATACACATATGTATGTAAACAAAAACTTAGAGAAACTGTGAAACATGCAATCACATTCGTAAATTTTTAGAATAGACTTAATTATTAAAAAATTTTAATGAAACGAGTATAATTGAGGCGAATCAAAGCAAACGGAAGCAAAATGTTAGGCAGCTCTCATCTGTTTACGTTTTACGTTTTGCTAAGCAAAAATGGCCATTTTTATTAGAAAGAAGACCGGGAAGCGAAGTGTGATATGCTTTCTTCGCTTCAGTCATGGTTCTATAGTAGTTGATGTAGCTTTTTTAAGTGCTACCAAGTTTCTTTTACCGATTTTAAACAACTTTTACTATTGTGAATGGTTCAAATCTGAAATAACCGTCAAAATTGAAGATACAAAATGTCTTATATAACAAAAAAATCTATATTGCATGATTTTAATTGCCTACACAATGATTCAAATTTGTGTCAAAACGGATGAAATATTTGTATATATCCATAATGTCAAGATCAGTTGTCTTTTGTTTTTCTCATGAATTTTCTGTTTACATTTTGATAATTTTGTGTTATGTACACACTATTCGGTTTCACTTATCACTTAAAAACGCATATTCATTGGTTGAAGTATTTGAAATTTTTGTTTTTGAATCAGAAAATTTTGAATAATTTTTTATTTTTGGGGTATCGGCACAATTTAGTCATGGCTTAGACTTGATTTAAGAAGCATCTCGCAGCCAAGGAGATAATAAATATTATTTAGCTCGAAAATATATAAAAAAAAATATATACATAAATTTTTCAACAAAAAAAGAATATATATAAGCATTTTTTGAGGACATTTCTCAGCAGTTTAGTTTTCGTCTCTCTTTTAGAAAATATGATATACTATAACTTGTTCCTTACTCTGCTAGCTCACAGTTAATTCCAATGTATGGAAGTTCAGGTGCAACGCTATATCACTAAAAGGTTGCTTAAGGCTTAGTTTAGAAAATGATCTATATGAAAGGTATAGTGTTCAACGTTGTGGTCCTGCCACAGCTGAACACACAGTTGTGATAATATAAAACGATTACTTCCCAAAACTTGGTGATCTTTACAAGGTTGAACACTATACCTTTCATGTAAATGAAATTTTCTTTTTTATATAAAAGTTTTACACATCGCTCTCATAGCCGAACACATTTCATGTTCATTAATATTTTCATGCAAACCAAATTAATATAAGCGAACACTCCAATGACCGGAAATGGTCATTATTTTGCTATTTTGTTGTCGTGTGGCTTCGAAGTTAAATTTTTGGATCAGCCCTGCTTCAGTTGACGTTCTATTTAAGCAGATTGCTCTTATATTAATAGTATGAGCTTGCATTTCTAGATTAACGGTAACTAATCTTATTTCCATAACAAATCGATTCAAAGAAGTCGAAACGGGCCCGACACTTTTTCTGGCCAAGAAATCTCAATTCGGCAACATTTAAATTTGGAAAAAAACTTCATCAAACAATATACATATATTCGGAATAAAATATGAGGAACCTTTAAGTAATTGTAGTAACTGTTACCTTGAATCGTTTACCAATCATCACCAGTCTGTAACATTCGCCATAGATGGCCTACATTATCTATTATGTAAAATCTATTTCCTTAATACAACGGGTTTTTCAATAGCAAAGGACGCCATATTTTTTCCCGCTCTTTTGACATTTCTCTTCAGCATAGTTTGCCTTTTTAATCGCGGTCCAACAATTAATTATTAAAAATGCTGCCAAATGGTGTGGCCGAAATTTTAATCCACAGGTACAGTACAAAATGTTCCCATGCCAGTGAGATAAAGAACTGTCCGTAGTGTCGAGAATATTACTGCCGCAAGCGCATCGATTGAGGAAGACTCAAAACACTCTAGACTTAATCTGTGACGTCGTTGTGGCGAATTTTGGGAAAAGATCTTGGTCTACATCCTTACAAGATCAAACTGACGCAAGAACTCAAGCCGCTTGACCACCAAAATTGTCGTATGTTCGTGAATTGGGCTAAGCAACAACTTGAAAATGATTCGGATTTTCATTGAAAAATCATCTTCAGAGACGAGGCTCGTATCTGGCTGAATGACTTCGTCAAAAAGCAAAATATTGGTCAGGCAGCCATCAGCACGTACTCAGTGAGTCAACATTACATCCCGAAAAAAATACTGTTTAGTGCGATTTATGGGCCGGCTGCGTCATTGGACCGTACTTCTTCCGTGATGATCAAGGCGGCACGTTATTGTGAATGAGAATCGCTACCTCTCAATGATAACCGAACATTTTTGGCCCGAATTGGATGATATGGGCTTGGATAATATGTGATTCCAACAGGACTGCACCACAAACCACACAGCGAATGTCACAAACGATTTATTGCACACCAAGTTTGGTGAACGTATTATCGCTCGAAATGGCCCAATCAATTGTCCAACTCGGTCGTGAGAATTGCCGCCTAAAATTGAGTTCAGCCTCTGGACGTCTTCAAGCGTGCCGTGGTGGTCATGCAAAAGAAATAGAGTTCCATACATAATGGCATCGAATGCGCTTTCACAGGAATAAAGAATTTCATTGATATCCCAAATCGGTTTTGTTTCATTAAAAAAAAAACCCCTGCATTATTTATATAAGTGGAAAATAAAAATTCGCATATTTCTGTTATTTTCTTGTTTATATGAAGAAAAAATGAGAAACTTCATAACTCTCATAGTAAAGGTATCGATAAAAGTGTATCGATATCTGATGTCAACATTCAAGCAGGCCAGTAGACAATAGATATGACTCAATTTGCTCCTCTATTCTTATTTTCGAGCTTTAAGGTTTCATTTTATCTTTTTTCTTCTTACAGGGAAGATGGAATTTTTGAATTTTTCGTATATATGTATGTATGTATTATACCGTCAACTTTAATTATACACTTACGATTAAGGAAAAATGTTTTATTATTTTGTTTGCTGCACAGTTTTATTTTGTTATTTATCTATTATAATTTTTATTATTTTTTGTACCGATAGTGCTATTTATCATTTGTCACTGAACAAATAAATCGCAGAAGCTTAGTTTACAATAATTGCTGTTAGAGCAAAGTTAATTTTGTAGACAGTTTGAAGGGACAATGTTGATTAGCGGCAAAAGCTGTGTATTCTTCCATTTAAACGTATAAAATTATGTTTAGTTGGTGTATATTTGTATTTATGTAATTTACTAGCTAAAGCAGGAGACATAATTTTACGCTTACAGCACCTTTTAGTAAGAATCTATTATTTTCCGCATAATTTTAGATGTGAAAATTAAATAATAAAACATTATTAAATTATGCCAGCAGTGAATCTTTGTCCTGTAATGCCTCTTTGCTTTTAATTAATTTATGTGTGATTCACACACACACTTGAAGCTGCTAATGTAAAATGTATGTAGGAACTTTAGGGAGCAGTTGATAGCAATAATAATAAATCCATAAAGTGACATCACGCATGTCGGCCCTCATGGCCAAATAGCCTAAAAGCGCGATAGATGTTATGACGTCATACACGCCTCCAAGCGTCCAAAATAAAAAGCGTAATTAGCGCCAGCAAACAATGCGTTAGTATGGCGCCGGCCGTAGAGGCTGTACCGGTAGTGCGTGTTGAGGTGGAAATGTGCGCTTCGAACAAATACTGTTGTACGAAAGCGGAACCCAGGGCGCCCGTATACTCCGGTTGGTAATTATAGATGAGTTCATTGATTTCCTCGGTGCGATTTGCGAAGTTGTTGCGATTCTTGCGCGCTTCATTCACAAAGAAGTCTGCGAAATATTGCGAGCCGATAACCGCTTGTGAGGTGTGCGTAATATTTCGATTCGGTATGAATTCGTAAAGTACTTTCTCAGGATGGAATTGCACGCCATAAAATGGATACCTGTAATAAATTAAATTATAAGTTTATTGCAACAAAGTATAAGAATAATTGACAAGGTTGTTCAAATACATGTTTCTTAGAAAAAACAACAGTTGCACAAAAATTAGTTGGAATTTTTTATCCAAGGCAGCTGATTGGTATAACGGGTGATCTTTTTCGGACAGATTACGCGTGAGTCGTGTCAAGTCTTGTTATTTGTGTTCAATATTACTTGGCATTTCATCAGGGAAAAAACGTTTACAAATCGTTCAACTTTGTTACGAAAAATCACGTTTTGTAAAGAGTGTGTATTACGATTGTACTATTCGCAACATCATCCCCGATTTTGAGACCCAGCCTTATTTACAATTCGATAGTAAAGACCAGGTCCCGGACGCAGTCAAGAAAATATAGCTGCCGTAGCTAAGAGTATATGCGAAGACCGTGGACTCGACGCTGTTCGCAGCAACTCGGACTGACATATTCAACGGCTTAGCACATTTTACGTCGATATCTCAAATTGAAAGCGTACAAAATACAACTTGTGCAAGAACAGAAGCCGCTTCACCTTCCCAAACGACATCGCTTTGCTTTATGGGCTCTTGAAAAGTTTCGAGAAGATCCGACGTTTTCGAGAAAATTTTTCTCAACGATGAGAACCATTTTTGGCTTAATAGGTATAAAAGCAAGCACAATTACCTCATTTCAACCTGAATAGTTTCAAGGGCTGTATTTTAATCCAAAGCAAACAACGGTTTGGTGTGGTTTGTGGGCCGGCGGAATCATATGTATCTATTCAAAAATGATGCAGGTGAGCACGTAATCGTCCGCTACCGCGCCCTGATAACCGCCTATTTGATGCCTGAATTTGAAGCCAGTGATCGCGGC